CCTCCTGGTTTTCTGTGCTTTGTGTGTGTCCAGGTGCCTGCTGGGTATTAGGCAAGTGCTGTCTCCCAGATGCAGCCAACTGGCCGTCGCAGACTCGCACAGGTGTAGGGATGACTGATGGTTACACCAGGGAGAGACGATCTCAGGCCACAAGCGATTGCCCGGTTTGAAGAGGGTATTTTGACACTGCTAAATTTTGCCTGTGTGATATTCTAGGACTCCGTAGACCCCCCGCCCTGGATGATCAGCACAGTGATGGGAGCCCCGTTGTGGATCCCACATGTTGTGTTACCGAGTGCCACGGTGGCACTGCTGCCTGGCACTGAGGATGCTTGCGAGGGGGCTCACTGCCTCTCACTTGGGCCACAGAAGCGTCATCTAGCTGTTTATGCAATACCCTGCATTTTCCCTAAAAATCCGCCTTTTTCAAAGGAGCACATAGGTTCCTAAGAGGATTACAGTTAAGTGGGTCACGTCTTTACACTGAAGAGACCCTGTAGAAGAGCAGCACCAACGAACTCTCCAGTGTCATCCCAGCTCAGGATGTTGACTGGCACCTGTCATGGCAGAGGGAGTTTCCAGAGTGATTGGCACTGTGGTGGATAACACTCTTGTCACAGTTCCCTGAGAGCTCTCACAACACTTCATGACTGTGACTTTCAAGAGAAAATCTAATAGAGGCTGAACTCCGCCCCCGTTGGCCGGACCCTCGGATGGTCCCTGGGGTCTTCCAGCTCACAGGCAGGCGCCGGGAGGCACGCGCTGGGGAGGCAAGGCCTGTGTCCAGCATTCATCTTGCCCGCTGGCTCCTCTCTCCCCACTTAGGGTTGGTCTAGCCGTCGTCAGGGCATGTGGTCACAGGCGTCCCGGCCCCGAGGCCTCTCCCTGCTGCCTTCTGCAGGGGACCCTCACGAGAGCTCCGGAATCAGGTCCAGCAGCTCATCAGCGCTGCGTGAGGGAGGAGCGGGTACCCTGAGCACAGCCGGGGGCTTCCAGGGCCAGGCCACGAATCTGTGCCTGTGTCTGCTGTCACCGTATCCAGCTTCCTGTGTTCTAGGGCCACGTTCCGGAGCAGGTGGCTTGCTGGGTGAGAGATACAGGCAGGTGTGCCCTGCACGGCACCCGCCAGGGCCTCGCTCTTCCTGCTACGAGGGAAAGAGGGAGCATGCCAGCCCCAGGTCTGGGTGCCTCCTGGGGACACTGGTCTTCAGGCATGAAGACCATGGTCCTGCTAGCCCACGGGGGCAGGGAGGAGGAGAGGCGCCCGGCAGCACACAGGGCTACCACGAGAGGCAGAGCTGCTCCAGAGGGCACGCCCGAGCCTGGACGCGGCCTGATGCGAGACGGTCCTGCATTCTTAGAAGACAATCGCTTAGCTATGACTTGGAGATGCGCCCACGGGCTCTGATCCACACACCGCCACCTACACCGACTGCGACTGTGCCACCTGTGACCTCACAACCCCTCCAGGCCACTGCTGCCAGCAGAGGGAAGTGCTCTGCCCACAGATTTCTCAGGTCCCCTGAGTGCCGGCAGGTGCTCGATGGTCTTGATCAGGAAGAAGCTCTCTTCTCCCTCTCAGTCCTCAACACTCATGCCACGGGCTTACCCCCACCTTGCCCCAGAGGGAAGGCCACTAAAGGCTTTGCATGCCTTTCCCAATTCCTTGTGATATTCTTTCTACAGGAACCAGTCAGATAGGCCTGAACATGGTCTCCACTTTGGTTTTCAACACCAGCCCTCAAGCTCCTATGCTGTCCACATCTGGGGCCACCAAGATGCCACCCCGGCTGCTGGAGTATTCTCTCCTTGTCCCGGTCTCAGTTCAGATGTCACCTGCTCAGGATGCCCCAGGACCTCCCTTAGCACCGACTTCAAGCGCTTGGCTTCAATCCTGCTGACCGCAGCCCACCCTCCAAAGCCTCGGGTCCGAGCCCACGGACTCAGCCGACCACAGAGCACCGATGTTCAGGAAAGAAGCCATCTGCAGTGAGCACAGTCATCACTCCCTGAACAGTGAAGAATGACTGTCTGTCATCGTGTGGACCATAGGGGCCCAGAGTTTATTCACACAGCAGGGTGAACGGGGTTCCACACAAACACTGCACCATGGCATAGGAGGGACCTAAGCACCCCAGCATCTGGTATCCTGAGGCGTCCTGAGGCACGAGTGCATTCTGTTTTCAGAACTTGTTTCCCATCTGCCCCTACCTACACCAGGCTACATGTCACATGACAAGGACAGTGTCTCTGACCCTAGGGCCACCACTGGGAAGCACTGGCACAGTGGCACAGGTGGATTAGATTTCAAGAGCTCCCACCAAGGGGAATGAAGGGGCATGGCCAGACCACCCACCCTGGCCCAAAAGGGGCTGGCCTGGTTCTAGTCCCACTCCAGGCACCCTGGGGCCCAGACCCAGCAGGGACGGTGCACTGTGGCCCCTCGGCATCGGGTGCTGGGAAAGAAGATCCATCGGCAGGATGAGCCACACTCCGCCGTCATCCCTGGTCCACCACCAGTGGCCAGGCCCACCCCTGCCACCCCCTTGCCCTCCTCCCAGACCCTCAGGAGGGAGCCAGCTGGGCCCCCAGAAGCTCAAAGCAGGGCTGTCCTGGGCTCCTCGGCTCTCTCTCCCGACTCTGCCAAAAGCACTGCTGTTTTGTTTTAGGCCCAGTCCCATTTCACACACCAGAATGTGGCCCCAAAGGGACAGGGAGGGACAGAGGGACCGGCAGGGACGGGGGACAGGGCAGGAGGCCGCAGGTGCCCCCACTGAAGTCCTCAGGAGACCTGCAGCCACCCGACACAGACGGGCTCCTGGATTCCTGGGAGCCTCAGCCTCCCCTCGTTGCCCTGCCTCTGGGCAGTGAGCGTCCCCTGCTGAGCGGCTCAGGAACAGGACCCCAACTCAGCAGCCTCTTGCTCCCCCAACCCCCCACCCCGCGGGATCTGGGAATCCTCGGCCATGGCTTGGCAGTAAGAGTCACGGGCAGGTAGCCTAGGCCAGAATTTCTGAGCGTAGGTCCCTGGGGCTCTTGACGTGGTTGTGTTGCAAGCCACCTGGGCCACTCACCTCATCCCACCAGGTCTGCATGTTGACCCACATAACTAGTCTCTGACGGCTACAGTTGCTAGAGGGGCCAAGGAGACCCTGGGCGCCGGGGACACTGGCCTGCAGACTGTCCTCTGTCCTGAAACGCTCGGTGCTACACAAGTGCACACACAGACGCAGCCACGGGCTCCCCGGTGCGCACGGGCCATGCTGGCCACTGAGCCCATCAGCCCGAACTTGGGCAGACCACGGGATCCACTGCAGATGACACGAGGGTCGGCAGCAGGCAGCATGCAGAACATGAGGCTGCAATGTCCCATCATGACCCAGACTTGACCAAATCCCAGTGATAACGTGACACCCCTAATCTCCCTGATTACACCCGTGTGTTGACACAGGTGCTCCGCGTGGCCCCTGGAGCCGGCTGCACCGCGGCTCTAGGCTGCCTAGTTACCCACCCTCCTGAGGGCACAGAGGGAGCCCTGGTGGGTGAGGCGCAGCCAGAGGTGCCCGGTACTGTCCACTCCACATTTCCCAAGACACCCGGGCTGGGCTGCATGGTCCCCCAGTGTCCTTTGCCTGCACTGTGCACCTGATTCCAAGAGCCAAGCCCGTGACACAAAGGACGCTGCTCTGAGGCAGGTGACATCATCAACGTTCACTGCCAAACACTGGGTCTGCCAAGCTGAGGGTGGTGACGTCCCTTCCATCGGGAGGTTGACACAGGACTGGCAGGTGAGGGGACAGGGCCACACAGACACCCTGCAGGCGCACCCTGGGCAGCCCCGCTGTGGGAGGCGTGTCCCCCCGCTCCTGGAGCCACTCCGGGAAGGCCCACGCTGCCTACCACGGCGCCTCCCTCTCTCCTCTCCTCCCCAGCTCCAGGCGGGCACCATGCTCCCCCGACCCAGGAGGACAAGCCGAGGGAACGGTCCACAGGGCACAGTGGGCCAGGTGGCCGCCCTGGGGACAGGCAGCCCACTGCACATGCCCCAGAATTGTCCTGCTGCTGGGAGAACTGAGGGCCAGAGCCGCACCAGGGACTTGGGGATTCCCAGTGGACAATGACCTCGGGCAGGGCTGGCCCCCTACAGCTCCAAGGGCAAGGGCCAGAATGAAGGGAGGGGACAGAGAACTCACCCAATAGCGCTGCCTGCAGGTGTGGCCACCCAAGCACCTTGTGCTGAGGCCAGGAAGTAGCTGGGACAGGACCCGTGTGTGTGCTGTTGCTGTGGCCTCCGCGTCCACTCACAGGACCACTGGACACCTCCAGTTTGGACCAGGACTCAGCAGGTGACTACAGGGAGCCCGAGTCCTGGCACCTGTACTGCTGTCCTCAGCCAGAACAAGGTCCCCAACGCTGAACAAGCTTTTGGGGCCATGGGAATGAAGTCTTCTACACCGAGCTGTGAGGCTTCCCTAGGACAGGTGCGTGCACCCCACAGCGCCCACCTGCACACCCCACAGCGCCCAGCCTGCATGACCACCCAGGAAGTGAAGCCAAAAGTCATTCCCAGTTTGCAGTGAGGAAGCGCCTTACACCAAGGCTCAGAGAGGGTGAGGAGCCTGCCCAGAGTCGCTCAGGAAGTGGGAGACCCTGACGACTCCACCCTGCTGGCCCTGACTCCCAGTTTGTGCGTAGGGGATCAATCAGAGTGGTGCTGGATTGTCACCTGTGACCAGTCCACAGAAGGAGTGGGCAGAGAGGATGCTCCTAGCGGCTCCCTCAGCCATGCAGAAGGGAGGAGACTGGGATCCCCAGACAGGAGGGAAATAAGCACACGGCCAGGCAAGGGCCCCGAAGGACAGAGGCCCCGCGCTCAGCCTAGGCAGGGCGCACTGCCCTGGAGGGCAGCGAGCAAGCACCTGGTCCTCAGGCAGAGCGTCTGTCAGGGCTGAGGAGGCGCCTCCTGCAGGAGAGGGGTCCTGGCTGGGGCTGCTGGGGACAGATTGAGCACAGACCAGGCGGGGTTGGAGGGCAGGGGCAACTGTGGGCAGCAAGCATATACGTGTGCGTGACTGTGCACAGGGTGAGTGTGCACATGTGGGAGTGTGAACACACATATGGGTAAGGGCCAGCTCACCTTTCCTCTCAGAGACCAGATAAGACAGAGCTAAGGGGCAGGGCTCAGAAGAGAGCTCTGTGTCCTGGGTGGACCTAGGGAACCAGGCGTGGGCAAAGGGACGGCTCCTACAGAACCACACCCACCCACTCGCATGCGCACACACACTCTGTTAAGGTCTAGTCAGTCTCTGAAGGAAGGAGGGGGATCCCACTGTTATCACTTACAGAAGTAGTTTCTCTTATTTGGCATCATAGACATGAATAATTTTTTTAGTTGTCAATGGACCTTTATTTTATTTATTTATTTATATATATATATGCAGTGCTGAGACTTGAACCCAGTACCTCACATATGCAAGACATGTGCTCTACCACTGAGCCACAACCCAGCCCCAGATACGAATGATTTTAAAGATGCCATTCAAGGTACAGTTTTCCTCCCAAGATGCCCAGACCCCCACAGACTCCCACGCAGTTTCAGAACATAGGTGTGTTAGTTTGGAGGGTTGGGGGTTTTGTGGGGTTTGTGCCTAATATCAGCAAGCCTCATGGTCCCTCAGCGGTCCCTGTCTGCATGGCTCCCTGCATGGGCTCTTTCTAGGTGTGACAGCTGCTGAGGCCATGGGAGGAGCCCGTGGGTCCTAGGGGGCCATGTGGGTGCCTTGCAATCAGCACTCACCTGCTCCAGCCAGAGCCTCAACTCCACAGAGCATGGAAACCCCGGGACCAACCCCGGCCCATCCATCTAGACACAGGGGAACTCTCCTGGAAGACCATGGGACCTGCAGGTGATGTGGCTAGGGAACTTTCAACAGCACAGTCTTGCGGTGGACATGTCCTGGAGCCCTTGCCAGGTTCTCGGTCTTCAGAGCCCAGGCCTCAGCCTCTCCTGGGTCAGTCTGGGCCTTATCCTTTATCTCCGAGGTGCAAGCCAGCACCTGGAGGCCACAGCTGCTGCTGGTCCACTTTTCTGCAGCAAAAGGCACTCTGGCACCAGGTGGGAGTCTGGGGCAGGAGGATTGCAAGTTTGAGGCCAATCTGGGCATCTCAGCAAGACCCTGTCTCAAAAAATAAAAGGGCTGGGGATGGGGCTTGGTTGTTAAGTGCGTCTGGGTTTAAGCCCTAGCACCAAGAAAAAGAAAAAGGCCTCTGCACCAGGTGTCCAGCGGTGAGGCAGAGCAGAGCTCAGTCTTGCTCCAAGGCAGAGTCTGAGGACTGCTTGAGGCCTGAATGGACCCCGGCAGGATGATGTTTTCTGGCCACCAGCCGATCCTGAGGGCTTGCTTCAGGTGGGGTTGCAGCCTCTTGACCACCACGTTGTGCGACCTCTCCAGCCCTTTCCAGAGCCGGCCGCACCGGGATTACCTGAGGCCCAAGTAGAGGCAGCAGTCTCAAGTGACCAAGGGCGATATGCCTCCGCCCAGGTGTGGGCAGCAGGTGGAGACACCTCCAGCAGCCCGGACACAGCCACAGTCTCCTCAGCGCTCTGCGGTGTTGTGGAAGAGGGTCCTCCCGGCCCTCATGCACCTGTCGGACTCCATCTGCAGCACGAGCCTCCCAGCGCCCGGGTTCTCCTCCCCGCTGGGTTGAACAATGAGATTTTTTTTCATCATCATTTCAAATGTTTTTCACAAGCTTGATTTAAAAAGGGAAAATTCCCCACCATATTTTCGGTCTGATTATCAGATGATGATGGACACTAGATTGATAAGAGTCACTCGAGGAGACCCGAGCTCTTGTGTATAACAGCTACTCCAATTACCAGGCACGGCGGAACTACTATTGATCCCCGCTCACACTGGGCGATAACTGAGCATTTTCCACTTCTTTAAAGTGCTGTTAGCCAGAAACACCCATCAGTGGAAAGCAGTAGATTTTCCTTTAAACACAGCTCAATACAATAAACAGCACACGCTCAAAGTTCAGAGTTCTCCAATCTCAGTCAAACAAGTAACTGCCCGGCACCAACACACAGACCTTCCAGCTGCTAAATGGTTCATTATGGAACAGGAGAGAGGAGGTCATCAGCTCTGTGACCTTAGCCGCCCCACAGCCGCACGAAGGAAAGTGTCCTTCGCTCCATTTTCTTCCAGGGGTTTAAACAGGGCGAGAGGGGAGGCGTGGAGGTGGGCGGAGGTCACCACCCACCAGAGGTGCATCTCTCCTGCCTCTGGCCCGGCCCAGCTCTGGCACGCTGCTGGGATTACAGACCTGCAGCCACATGGTGACTTGGGGAAGACTGCAATTTTGACAATATTGGGAATACAGTTGTCTCTAGGAGTGCTTCTGCTGGGGAGGGTCGTCAGCTCGGATCTAAGATGCTTCTTGGTGGCTGCTCCCCTCCTGGCCTCTGCTTGACCGATGACAAATAGGTGCTCCTCTCCTGATGGCCCAGCTTTTGTTGTGGGCCCAGGGCCACCTCCAAACATAAAACTCGGGAAATTGACAAATAAGGAAATCAGCCCGTAACTGCGAGGCTAATCTCGAGTGCCATCAGCAGTTAGCCAAGGGCTGAGCACTGAGGCCAGGGTCAGGTCAAGCGACCTAGAAGTCAATGGAAAGCGGTTCCGTTATTTGTTTTGCCATATTTTCCCCAATGTGGATAGTTTCGTGTTTTATTGTTTGAAAAGCCCAGAATCTCTTCACACAAAGGTCATCGTCGCGGGACCAGGACCTGCTGTGAGCCCGGGCGCTGGGCTCCCTCACCTGACCCTGGGGCATCTGCAAGTGGGAAATGCAGACCCCAGGAAAGGCCCCAGGACAAAGGGGGAGGGAGGGAGGGTCGGCTGCCGAGGGTGGAAGACGGGGTAGAAGTGGAGGTCAAAACAAGGCTGAAGAGGGTCTCCCTCAGCCTCACGGCACCCCCTGGTCATTGACCCCACACACATTTGTTGGTGGGGTCACAAAAGGTTCATCCTTGCCCTTAGGTCCCTGCAGCTGGGCAGGGATGCCGTTTCCACTGCGGAAACGAGCAGAACTTGGGCGAGGGCCTCACCCTCGGCAGGGTCCTGGAGGCCCCGTGGGGACCTGGCACCCACTGGGAAGAGCGAGTGGAGCGAGCGCTGGTGGTGCTGGTTCGCCTGTCTAGGGGCAGGGTGGCCCTGAGACAGCAGGGTGGAGAGGCAGTGAGACTTCCAGGCCAGGACGCCTGCACGAGGGCCCGGGAGGGTCAGGCCTAACCCCTGTGAACACAGCAGCGCCACAGTGGCCAAGGGCAGGAAGCAGCCCAGTGCCCATCAGTGGACCAGCCATGAACATGGTCTGATCACAGTGGAACGTCATTCAGCCTTAAAAGAAAGGACCCTGATGGGCCGACACAAGGCGCTGTCCCACTTGCCGTAGCCTTCTGAGGCCTGGCGTGCTCCGGGCCCTGCTTCCAGGCCAGGAGACAAGTTCCCAGCACTTGAGGACCAACACGGTCCCGCAGCTAGCAGAGGTGGAGCTGGGTTGGCCTCAGGTGCAGAACCAGGGAAGGCGCACAAGGCCTCCCCAGAGCTCCTCCGCAGCCAGCACCAGCTCAGGACCAGCGTGTGGCGAGATGGCGGGCAGGCAGCCTGGCACTCAGACTGGCAAAGTAGCCAACAAGTGATGCGGGAGCCAGCCGTCCAGACGGGCCACACCCCGCTTGCTCCTGGCTGAGTTGACGAAAAGGTCAAACGCCAGCTATCCACTCATGAACCACGTAATGGGTACCTACAGGGGCATGCGGCTCAGCTGGTTCTTCAGATCCAGTTCTCCCCCGACAGTCCTTCACCCTCTAAACTCCATAGCGGACACCTTCTTAAGCATTTTCATTCACAATCACGACAGGGAACAAGGCAGGTGAGGAGGCCAAACGCCGCCCCTGGGGTCCCGCAGAATGGAAATTCAGTTCTCTGGAGTCTGGGACCCAAACGGGCAGTTCCAGTGGATGATCCAACGATGCAGGGAGGCAGCGGTGCTGTGCCCGGGCTCCACAGTTCTCAGGGGTGGAGGACGCCCACGCAGGTGCCAAGGCCAGGTGCACTGTACCCACAGGTGGGCCTCATATTGGGGCTCACCAGGGAACTTAGGTCTCCCCAAGTTCATATTTAGGACACCAGCTAAGAGCCCCCACGAATCCGTTCTTCAGGAGGGGACACATGCCCTGCCGTGGCTCCCCGTGTCACAGCCTGTTATGGTTCAGAGTGGCGTATCCCCAAAAGCTCATGTGTGAGACAGTCAAGAAGGTTCAGAGGTGAGCACTGTGACCTCATCAGTGCACCAAGGCACAGTGTGGATGAACTGGGTGGTGGCTGCAGGCAGGTAGGGTGTGGCTGGAGGAGGTGGTCACGGGGTGTGCCCTGAGGGTTTATGTTTTGTCCCTGGTGAGTGGAGCTCTCTCTCTTTGCTTCCTGAGCTGCTTTCCTCCACCACGCCCTCTGCCTCACCTTGGGCCCACAGCACGCAGTCAGCTATCTACGGGTTGAGACCTCTGAGACTGTGAACCAAAATAAACTTCCTCTCTAAGCTGTTCTTGTCTGGTGCCTTGGTCACAGTCACAGGAACCTGACCACAGCGGCACTCATGGAGCATTTTGGGGCAAGCATGCCTACCATTAAAAAGCAAATTGGTGAGCAACTGCTGAAGCTTAGAAAACCCACACACCTCCTGCACTTCCAAACGTCTTGACTCTCGAGGAGTCCCTGGAGAGCAATTTGAGGAAAGCACACCTTGCTGTGAAGGAGCTGGGGAGAGGGACATAGCTCCCATGGGCCCCACAGGAAGCCAGGGACTCAGAGCCGCCTCTGGTGGGCCCTCCCACCAGACAGCCTGGGTTGCTAAGGCAGGAAGGAGGCCAGCAGCCGCCGCGTGCTCACAGAAGACCACCTTCTTAGCATGGGCCACAGAGACACCTTGTTGGCAACAGAGTGGCTGGGAAGGGACGAGTTTACAAACCAGAGGTTCTGGGGGACTGAGGATACCTGAGTGGAGGCTCTGACCCTGATGGCCCCCAGAGAGGCCACACACAGCTGTCTCGGGCTGATGCTTCCTCCCCTATGTAATGAGCACAGAGACCCCAAAACACAAGGGAAATCAGGTGGGGTTCCCAAGGTCAAGTTCAGTAACCCACACAGATCTGTGTCTACCAGGGCAGGCCCCTCAAAACGGCCTCCATGTCAGTAGCCTCCTGAAAGTGTGACTCTCCAGCTGACCTCTGAGGCCCCTCCTCAGCTCCCTGCCACCCGGAGCCCAGCAGCCCCCAGGGCCACTCAAGCCCTGCATCTCCCATTGAGCATACTTGGGACAGGATCGTGGAAGGCCAGAACCAGTGGGGAAATCAGGAGGCCTCCCACTGCTGACCACTCTCCCAGGGCCCTGGGCAGAGCACCTCACCCAGGTCACGGAATCTGCACAAAGCCCTCAGAGGTGGACACTCGCATTATCCCTGCTTCCTAAATGAGGAAACACGGCTCAGGGGGTGAAAGAGGTCTGCCCAGGCCAGACGGTGCACCTGGGGCACTGGGAGACAGGTCCCAGGCAGGCTAGTCCACTCCAGAATCAGTGCTTCTGACCACCCTGGTCACCAAGCCAGACCATTGCAAGGTGAGCACCCAGGGCCCCAGGCTGCTCTCGCTGACCTGGCCCAGCAGGTCTCTCAGGCATCAGGCTTCCTCTCCCTACCAGGTGCTCGTCCCATGACCAGCCACGCAGCCGTTGACCACGTGCCCAGGGATGTGCTTTGTTATCTGTGTTGTTCAAGGTCTTGCTGTTGTAGCTCTGACTCTCCAGACATCACCTCCCTGCTCCTGTTAGGAGCTAGCTGGAGGGCAAGGAGAAAGCCGCCGTACCCCCCGCAACAGGGGGCCTAGCTCCCAGCCAACGTTAGAACAAAGGATTCCGTGTCCCCTCTTGGTCTGAGAACCAGCCTTGTACTTGGAGGTACAGCCTGCACAGCAGAACAGAGTCAGGAGACCTCTGGGAGATCCAAGAGGCTCCCTTTACAGAAGCCTTTTGTCAGCAGATGAGACAGGATGCACAGCCCGACCGTCACCCTCCACCACCTGACGGAAGCAAAGAGTATGACATCACAAACACAAGGACAGCAATGGAAGGCCACATTGCCGCTTGACCTCACTCTGACCACACTTGCAGGGTCCTCAGCCTGGCCCTCCTGGCAGTCTGATAGCCCGGCCTGGGGGGCGGGTGTGCTGCAGGACGTGAGCAGCTCCCCCGGCCTGTGCCCACTAATGCCTTAAAGGCACCTTCTCCTGCTTGACAACCAACACTGTTACCAGACCAGGCCACAGGGTCCCTGGGCATGGGGACATTTCCCACACAGAGCCTTTGAACCCTCTGCCAATCTGGAGGCAAGTCAGGGGATAGAAGAACAAGTTAAATTCACCACAGAGGTGTCACCAACGAAATCCAAACTGTGGGAAACTATGTATCACATCTGAATTACACGGGTAATGGAAGAACATGGTGGGGAAAGGCATGCATTAAAAGAGATTTAGGAGGTGTGTCAATTATTGCAATCTACAGATCTTATTTGGATCTTGATTTAGACAAAAACTGTCAAAAATGATAACCTGAGACTACTGGAAACTTGATGATATTAAGAAAAAACAGGTAGGTTTGGGTGTGAAAATACAATGTTATTCTATTTAAATGGCCTTTGTCTTTAGAAGCTCACACTGGAATGTTCACAGCTGAGACAACATGACCACTTAGACTTGTTTCCAAGTGAGTCATAAGGAAATGAACGAAACCAAAAGGACCACAAATCTCTAGTGTCCTCAGCGTGTGAGCCAGGTCCATTACACTGCAGTCCTCTTTTATATACGTTTGAAATTCTCTGTAAGAAAAGTTTTTAGAATTAGAATGGATTTTAACAGAACCATGTGGGACGTCAAGCAGGAAACACCATGGTCATGTCCTACACACAGGTGTGTACAGAGGCAGGACTTTGTGACCATCTCTGCCCCTCCATCAGTCACTCCAGAATGGTCTACGCAGCCCCCAGGGACAGGCTTCCTAGGAGAACTGTCATGCCCTTGAGCAGGATAGATACACACGTCTCAGAACAAGTCTATATCAGCGTCCAGCACGACATGCTGCTGCTGCTGCTGCTAGTAAGGCAGCTCAGAAAAGACCTTGAGGGGCAGGCTTTCCAGCAGTGTCCTGCAAGGACATACTCCCCTGGCCCTCCTGCCACCCCTCCCTGTGGGCCTGGGTAGAGCATGCTCAGCACCTGGCCACAGAGCCCCGCCCAGGAGGTTCCCATGGGCAAGGACCGAGGGGGAACCATGCTCCGGAGCTCTGTGCAGACAAGCCACATGCACAGCAGCCACGTAGAGGGTCCCAGAGGGACTGCAATTGCCCACAGGAGGCTTCCGCCCTCGATAAAAGGCCCAGCAGAGGTGCTGCAGCCCAAACTCAGAGTGCCTATGACCATGATTGACGTTTATTTCTCCAGGAACGTCACGGGGGCCTCAGCCGTTATGTGCAACTTTTATATTGCAATGGTTCGCCCTCAGAGTTTATTAATACCTGATGAACACAGTTACTGCACATTGTGATGGGAAATCTCTTAGGAGCAAGTTTTGTATTTTGCTTTCCTACAGGGATCCAAGACGGTCCAGCCTGTCCACTAGCATCCCAGGCACTGCCGTTCTCTGGTGGCACCTGTCACATCAGGGGCACATACCAGGGAGGAGCTGATCAACCCCAGCAAGGCCTGAGAAACTTGGTCTTGAACCAGGCCCTGCCTCGGCTTCCACAGACAGGCCAGGTATGGATGCAGCCCTCGGCCATGAAGACCTCGCTCTGGACCTGGTGGGACCACCGCCCAACCATCTTTGGCCTCCGGTCTCTCCTAAGCTGACGTACTTGCTGGGCAAGGCGGCCACCACGTCAGACCCCACGACTCCATGTTCACCTGGTCCTGATGCAATAATCAGGCTGCAAAGTGGGGCTGACGGGACGGAGGCAGCCACTGCGCCCTGCCACGCCAGGAGGGACCAGGGTGTCTGTGTCCTGAGAGACGTGCCAGTATTGGGGGCTGGCTTTTATGAACAAGCTCCAGGGGCACCACTGCGAGGGGCTCTGTGGACCTAGAGCAGCTCGTGGCTGCGGAAGCCACAGGCGGAGCCAGCTGGCAGGGGGCAGCCGGGGCAGGAAGGGCCTGTGAAGCCAAGCGCAGATGACACAGCGTCACTCCACCAGCTTACCCACTGGGGACAGAGCCAGACAGGAAGGCCGAGAAAGGGACTGGACCACAAGGTGTTGACGTGCGTGAGAAGCTGCCCTGCGACAGCCGGCACAGAATGGAGAAGGGGTGAGCTGGTGGACAAAGGACATCCCGACGCCCTTGGCCTCCCCATGCAGCCCGGGAATGCAGCCCCACACAATTAGGTGCTTCGCTCATTAAGACCACGTCACTGACGGCACCATGAAAGACATGACAAATTAGCAATTTCGCGGCACCAGCATAATACTATCATTTGTATCACCAAGTCAGCAAAATCCAGCCTGCGGGAACTCAGCTCCCCATTCTGCCCCAAGACCGGCCATCAATATGGTTTTATGTGCCCAGTACTAATCACTAAAGTCAGATAATATGCAAGGTTAATGGCTGCGGACAGTCTGGGGTGGTATCTAAGATCTGATAAGGGCGCCCCGTGCGACTGCAGTTCCCTGCACGATGTCCCAACCCAGAAGAAAGGGAGGAAGGAAATCGATGCTCGAGGCAATCGCGATACGTCTCCCCTGGCAACATATAAATCGGCCTTCATTTGCCCATTCACATCCAGTTAATAAATAGTTCAGACACGGGCCATCCTGATGGAGAAGGAGTGTGACCATTGTCCGCCCGTCACACCCGTGGAGATTTATGCTGTCCCCGCACAGGGACCTGGCCAGAGCTCTCCGATTACCTTGCCGACCTCCTGAGGAAACAGAACGGTGTGCACGGCCTTCGGATGAGGACGTTAATATCCGAGTGTGTCACAGCCTTCAACCCGGCAGCGGCACTCCTGTAGGAGCACTCTATTGAGCTGACAAAGCCCAGTGAGGGCCCCTCTGTCCACTGTTACCATGGGGTTGTACACAGGGCCTCCACACAACCACGTGAACTCACGGGTCCCCTGCCACGGGTGTGACTGCACCCCACAGCTGCCCTGGCAAGGATGGGGAACAGGGCCCGGGGAGCCTCCGTGGCCTCCCGCTCCCAAGGTAGAGTTCAAGTTCCCAGTGTCCTCCAGGTGCTCAGGGAAACTACGTGTCCACGACCTGCAGGCTAATCTCAGGGTGTGCATCTCGAGAAGACAGAGCGGTTTGCAGATCCACCTCCTCCCGTGTGACCCGCAGGCCCAATCAGCCCTGAGCGACCTTCTAGCCTGGCCATGTGTTTTCCCTGGAGTCCAGGGGTGCGTTTCTGGGCCCCAATGTAATTACTAGACTTTACCTCCCCAAACTGAAAGAAAGCATGCTGGCATCGTGTGTAACTCGTAAGTGGAGTGCCAAAG